CCATTTCCTCAATATGCTATGGAGTGGAACAGTCAGCTGGAATGTGGACAGTGAGACCTGGTCCCTTGATCCTGCTTCTTCAAGTAGGACATGTCACGGGATGTGAAATACCTCAACAGGAGAGAAAGTAGTACCCACCTTTGGATACCCTACAGCCTTGCCTTCCTGAGACGTGGGTTCAAGTCACCCTGTGCTCTAACCACAGCATAATAAAAGCCTTCTTTTTTTGTGTCTTTGGGAGAACAATCAACAAAGGTCCATCTTGGTGAAGCCTAAGCAGAAGGTAGATATCATCTTCCAGCACAACATGCTTGTCCGTGAGGAGCTTATCTTAGATATTTCCTACAGGTCGGTGCTGTCAGCTTCCAGGACAGCTTGCTCAGCTTTGTGGATCGCATCTGGGGATCTAAGTCTCCTAATACAGGAAGCTTTGATGCTTCATTTGGATTCCGAACTTCTTCAGGGAGCCAGCTAGCTTAAACTTAGATGTTTCAACATTAGATCCTGTTTAATATTTGAGCACAGTCTTTACATCAGTTTTAAGAAATGGGGCTTCGGTTCCTAAAGAACTCTAAAAAATCTTGTCCCATGTCAGAATTTAAAGCATCCCACTAGGGGAGAACCCATGGCACCTCTGCAAGTTGTTTCACTGTTAAGCTACCTGCACTACTGAGAAGTGACACAGCACATTTATAGCTAGTTTAAATATCTGGCTTCAGTTTTCAAAAACTGCGTGATCTCTTCTTGGTTGATGGTAGATGGCAAGAATCCCTGGCTAGTTGGATAACCCATGCTTCTTGCAAGAAGCCTCCTTGTTTTGTCCTTAGGAAAAGATAAAACCCACATAATAGCTCATTGTCCATTTATACACCAATTACTTGATAGAGAGGTACCATAAATGGTGCACCTGGATGATCAACTTCAGTGTACCCAAATCCATGGTACAAAGGAAGGGGGATTCCATGTCCCCTCTCTGCCACATGGCCCTCATCTTTGTGTGGGCAGCAGTACTTGCACAGCCCCACCAACAGCTGTTTTAGTAAAAGGGCCATATTAAAAACTAATCTGCAGTTTTGTTTTGTAGAGGAGATTTCAGGCTTCCTGGTCCAGCAGTCTTGTGACAGAACAACTCAACACCAGCATGGAGGAAGGCATGGGGTAGGGGTAGAAGAAGAGGGAAGGTGAAAGGTTCCTTGCAGTGGCAGCCTGATCTACCCTGACCATGAAACCCCAGCCTAGGCTAATTAATTGCACACTCAGTGCCAAAAACCTATTCCTGCCCTACTAAGTTACAGCCATTTCAAACCATATTTTTCTTCCCCAGTTGTTTGGCAAGAGTGTTATGTTCCTAGCTTTAAATACAGCTATCTAGGGACTCCCAGAGAGACATTTATTTTTATTATGTTTTTCTTTTGGACATTATTCACAAAGCCAACAAGGATAAGAGCTAAAAAGCTGAGGCTTGAAACAAGAAGGGAGGTTAAATCAGAAATAACCTTTCAAGGAATTTTGGTGAAACACCAGAATCTGGAAACAAAGACTAGCATGTAGATAAAATTTCCTTGGTGTTTAAACTTTCATGTTTTAGTAGAAAAAACATGCTTCTTGAAACAGGCCCAGGATTTTTGAGAAGCTGATGGAAGTAATGGAGTGTGACGTACATAGCTGGGACAAGGAATCTACTGGAAGAAGCGAGCACAGTATCTTTAAGAAGTTGCCAAAACCTGCAGAAGGCTGACATGGACAATTTCCTCTGAACTGAGGCTACATGCAAGTGAAAGAGATGGAAGGCTGTTGGAAGTCGTGAAGATACAAGTCTTCTGAGCAGGTATATGAAATGACCGAGCAGGCAATGTTAAGAATACTGAAGTTATCAAGAGCTTGGGGTTAGTGTATGCTATATGAACATGCAGTCACCTTTTGAGGATGTTCACAGTAAATCTTAAAACTGAAAACATTTCACATGGAATGACTTTAACGGGAAGAGAACAAAAATCTACTGATTAAATTCAGTCTTTACAATATAAACACGTACAGCTCCAAGGAAATCAAACTCTGCTTTGGAAGGACATGTAGAAGTCACTCAGTGTATCCCAGCTTCAGGGCAGCAATTCTCTTCAGACCAGTGACTGTCAGCATCACAGAGGTCCCGCTACCTCTTCCAAAAGCAAGGAGTGACACAAGTCTGTCATGGCAAATGATCTTTTTCCCAATGCAGAACTTGATACAGGTATCAGACTTTGACCACTTTTAGTGTTGACACCTAAGCCTGTATTGGACTTGCATCACAGTGGACATTTGTTGATAGTCACTATGACCAGGAGCACGTGCTGCTCTTGGTTGCCAAGTTTTATGGGACAAATTTTTACTGAGTTGATGAAGGCAGCTCAGGACAATATGCAGCCTCTGAGGGATCAGGGCCAGAGGTTGTTCTGTACACATGATGCTCTCAGAACATAGGCTGAGAGAGAAGCAGCAGTGGACATGTGTATTTGGGATGGAGGTCACAGACAAAAAAAAAAAAAGCCAACAAACCGAGAAATAGATATGTTACTAGCAAAGCTGTTGGAATAGAACACTGAGGCATTCAGAGATCTGCCAGCATCAGCAAAACCTTTGTCCCAGCTGCTGAGCGCACCTACTGACTTTGGATCAGGTTATAGAGGGAAATTTCACCAGTTACAAGAGCTACAAGTTTGCCAGACCTCATCAAAAAATGAAAGCTGCAAATGAACTTCACTGACGACCCTTCAATTGCTTTAAAACACCACCACCACCACAAACACCAACAAAACAACATCCATTTGTGTGATTTAAAATCTATAGATAACTCTATAGCATTTTAGGTTGAAGAGAGTGAAGAGATGTAAATAACCTTTAAATAGAATACAGTAGGAAGTATGAAGAGATACTGACAACTAGCCAACAGTCAGCTGGTTAACACAGAGAGCTGAGGTATGGTAAGCAGGACTCAAGTTCCTGTTCTGTAAAACTCACTGAACTTGAACTCCATCCTCCACCAGGACATCATCTCTGGTTCACTTAACATTTTAATATTCAGAGAAATGAAGCAGATCCAAGAGAGGGAACTGGAAGAAAAAACAGCCACTATAAGATAAAAAAATAGCCATGTGGTGTAGAAATTTATTCGGTTTGCAGAGTAGCCATGTTCTTGCGCTAAAGGTGGCAACAAACTGCCTCAAGCAAATTCCCTCCATAAAACACTTCCAGGACATTCCATTTCATCACAGTGCAGAACAGTACTTTTTTCCCTAAACTCTAACTTTGCATGGGGTAGGGACTTATAGTTGCTTTATACATATGACAAGGTTGAATTTGGCCTATAAGCCTAACTTCTGAATGAGACGTATGTGCCTGCTGCTGCATCCAAGGAAAAAATTATTTCTCTGCCCGCCCCCCTCTGCCCCCTTCATTGCGGTCAGGAAGGGCTCTGGGAGACAGAATGTATTAAAAACTTAGAAACTGTAAACATTCAATGCCCAAATGATGCTTAAATACAGCAGACCGCTACTGTACCCATAAAGTATAATAGTAATTTAGATGACAAGCACGCGAAACTGCTAAACAAAGAAAAAAAAATTCCAAACATGGTTTGACAGTGATGTGGCCTAGCAGAAATGTCTATTTTGTTGAAAAGGAACAAAAAGATGCTATTCGCATACCATCACAGAGTGACTAAAGTGGGCATAAGTTAAAATAGTTTGTGGAACTGGCACTTCCCCCTCCACCTTTAAGTAAAAGTTGCTCTCTTGGTGGAAGATAGTTCATTTAATGCCTTCATATTATGGAATAACTTAATGAATGATCAAAGATACATTCCATAGACAAGAGGATTCTCCACAACGTTACCTATCGCTAAGGGGAAGGACAGCAACCCTTCTAAGCAGGTTAACTCTGAAAGAGACTGTCACTGATCTTTGGGGTTGTATTTCTCAGTACTAAGAACATCAGACAATAGTCAAGAGGAGCTGACACTTATGAGTAGGAGCTTTGTCAATCATTATCATCCATTAGAAGAGATGTGCCTGTGAAATAGGCAAATGTAAACTGTACCGTGGCAGGAGAGGTACGACCAGCAGAGATACAGAAGAATAAATGATAACAACATACAGTGCGGTGAGTTGCTTCCTTAGGAACCTCCAGAGCAATCTCACTACTGAATTCAGGCATAAGGAAACAAAACTGGAACAGATGCAGGGAAGGACACCAAATATCATCAAAAGTCTAGAAAGCACTGACTGAAAAAACACAGTTCCGCTTCTTTAGCCTTACAGAACAAAGGCTAGGAAGAAATCTACAATTTTGGTCTATACATACTGCAGGGGGCAAAGGGAAAAAAAAAAGGAAAAAATTGAACTTATTCTACAACTGTGTATGAAGCAGAGCATAAACATTAGTGTTAGTAATGTATCAGTACTGTGTTAGCAAGGTATGTATTAGTATGGCAGCAAAGTTAAGGTAGAAATCAAAAGGAATTAATATTCACAAAGAGGTTTTCTCTTTTTAGACTAAAGTTTGCTTAGGAAAAGTTACGTGTGCACCTGCTTTTATAGTGTACCAAGCCTGGTAAATGGTTAAGGTCCAAAAAAAATTTCCCTACTATTTATATACCTAAAATGTAAGTGCCTGTAAACATTTAAAGACACTAATCAGGTAAAGCTTATAAATACGGCTCCAAATACATTTGTAAAAACAAGTTCCACAGCAATACAATTAAATGATAATAAAATATCGCAACTCAGATTTTTGGCAAACATTTTGTAATTTTTATATAAAAATCTCCGTAAGAAACCAAGCAGAATATCTGACGGAAACATCTGCCTTACAACAAGTTCAAAAAAACCTCACAAAAGAAAAAGTGGAAAAAAAAAAAAAAAGAAAAAAAGTAAAATTCCAACCCCCCAGAATCCTTTTTAATTATAAACCAGAATATCAACAAAACACTTAAAATAATCTCAGATTGTTTGGCAACTCATCACATCATAACAAGAGACACATTTGATCATAAGAAAAGTTTAACTTTATATACAACTTCACTTGAACATTTGCTCTTACCAGAGTTAATATACATTAAAAAAAGATTCTGGCAATAATACCAGGTTCTATTTTAATACCTGTGTATAAAATGTAACATAAAATGCTGAAGCTCTATAGTTACAAGTGACATTTGATTTCAATGGGTCCCTCTGTTGAAAAAGACAAATACTGAAAGATCAGGTGTTTAGTTGCAAAATAAAACTGTTTCATTTCAGGGTAGTGTTGGCTGACTGAGTAAATCTAACCTAATACTATTTGTTTCTTGAGGTTGGTAGTAAATTCACAAGTGAAAATATAATCTAGTAAGATTACATTTTAAATTTTATACTTTGTCACAAATGTGAACAGAAAGGAGCCAAGTCCCCTTCACTATGCTAAACTACTTTAATGCATGCGAGAAAAATACTTTACCAACTGTCTGCGCATATTTTAGAGAACTTCAGGTTTTAAACAGCCCTGGGGAGCAGAGGGGAAGTTTCCTACTGACATCTGCATAGAATGTAAAATATATAATTAAAAAAACCTAAGGTATATACTAAAGTTTACAGACCAATGCTTTCCATATAATAAATAAAATGTCCATCATTGATTAGATTCATACACAGAGTAAAATACAACCTATTTTTACAAGTTTATATACAAAGTGTATTAGTAGGCCCAGGGGTGCCTCATGGGTTGGAAGCATCTGCATTAGCATGTCATATTGGGAAATCCCAACTTTCCAAGTCAGTGATAAAATATATAACTACTTTGTTTTTCATTCAGGTACAAAGTAAACTTATTTTTCATCTGAAATAAATGTACATAATATTCTGTATAAACAATAGTTTATAAAGCTGTTTAAAATGTAACTTAAAAGTACTGCATTGATTAACTTAGAGCTCTGAAACAAGCACGTGCAAATCCCTTTGCTTTAAAAAAAATAGAAGCACAGATGTTTTTTTTTTTCTTTTGACTCTTCCATGAACAGTACTAGCTGGTAAAGATTATCGTTTTGCTTTCTTTACTGGTGTCTCCTCTGTTTTCTGCTGGCCTTTTCTGCGTACCACTGTTGGGCTGTCTTCTCTTTTACGCTTGGTAGACTGCGCCTTTAACCTGAAAAGCATTATTAATAATTATTTTAATAATGGTAGGACCTGTAAAACAAAAAGGGTGGTCAGGCACAATCCTGTTTAGAGGATGGAACTTAACTGTCCATCTCTGATGAACTACCAGTGTATATTATTTAAAAGCTTACTACTAAAACATTATATACCAGCACAGTCCATAGGGAGACCTTGCACTCTCCCACCACATCTTAGCAGGGTACTGCATACTAATTCTGCATGTTGTGAAAGTGGTCCAGATGTAGAATTTGGCGCTAGAGCTCTCTTCCTTTCTCCTCTTCCTTTTGGAAAGACTTGTGGATTAGAACATAATATAATGAACTACATATCTTGTACCCTGTCTCACAAAGACAGAAGAATAGCAATAGTGGCTTAAGTCTCACATACACAAAAGGGAGTATAGGGCAGACATTATGTACCCTTACCTCTATTTAAGCATCCATATACAAGCCCACCACATTTCAGCTGCAACCAGTTACCTGTGGCTTAAACTTTTGGTCATTCATAACCATGCAAAGTAACTAACATGGTGAACTGTGACAGCCGATCAGTGCATGATACATATGTCCCTGAGGTTCATTTTGAAGACATCACATTTCAGAGCAGATGACAACTAAATGTACTTGGCATGTAACCCATTTTATGGGTAAACTAAAAGATGAATAGCAATTGTGCATCACATTTATTAGTCCCTTGGGATTTTACACAGTGATCTCAACTTTAAAGAGTGTACCAGGGAAGAAGGGAACGGGAAATATTTTCAAAACTTGATATAAGGACTCCCAGAGTTTCTCCTCTTTTATCAGCTCATCTTTGAAAGATCTTTGAAGCATTAGACTCACGTCATCGTATGTTGCTTTAACCTGAACTACAGTTGCTCTTCCCCCATTCAGGAAAAAAAAAAATAATAAAAAAAAAAAAAAAAAATCACAGCTCAAGTTAAGATACTGCATAACAGCATTTTCAGATTCTCCCAAGAGGTTTCTGAGGACAGAAAGAAAAAAGTTCTAGTATTCCAAATGTTAAAGAAAAGAAGAAAAAGAAAAAATGTAAACAGAAGAAAATCCTTTAAAAGCTTTTATATGTCACAAGAGAACAGAACAGGATGAAGCTAGACTGCTGTTTGTATTTCGAAGCCGTACATTACATATAAGGAAAGGATCAATGTAGTGGCTTCCAAAACAAGTAATAGAAGTGAATTCAATTTTAATACTTACTGTGTCAATGGAGGAGATTTATTAATTTTTGTATCACTTGGAGATCTTTTTTTTGCTGCTAGGTTCTGTCGTTTTCTAGGAGAAACTGAACTTGGGCTGCTGCTTTTAGAAGTTGCACGTGTGGTTGGCTTGCTGGGCTGCTTTCTGTAATACAAAAGAATGATGAATGTATATATAACAAAATACTTTTACCAAGTCACTTTCTTCTTGCATTCCAAGTGCAGCAAATTAAGACTGCACAGTATTTGCAACAAGTAAATCCAAGTTGCCAAAAGAAACAGTGAAAAAAACCCATATGCATGCTTCAAGCCACAAACTGCAATGCCGAGCTGTAAATTTTCATATCAAGTGTAGAATCAAAAGGCTACTTTACTGATAATATTTAACTAAATAAAAATCGTAGTTCCAAATCTGCAATAATTCTGGTACATAATTGTCCAAGTTTAAAAAAAACAGCTTGTACTACCAGCTGAAAAACAAAAGAAGCAAAGGCAAACAGGCTGCAGAAGAAAAGAGAATTTCCTTGTCCAGTGTAAAGAAAGAATTCATACTTGCTTCAGTATCCACCAGTTCAGAAACATGAAAAACTGGTTACTGACTATCAGCTTCACAGTTTGGAAAACAGGTTACTTAAGTCAGAAGAACTGATAATCCAGCAATGCTGAAGAAGCAGCCCCTTCCACAGTATGATTCCCAAATTCTACTTATAAAATGCAGACTGTTTGCAGCACCTTAAGGTAGAGATGCTTTGCTACAGTCACAGCTAGAAAGATAGCATTGGAAATCTGAGACACAAACCAAACACACACATCTATAAATAAAAAAGTAGATGTTTCCACAAGCAATCATAATGAAAACACTAATATCTAAACTTTTGTTAAAATTTCAGAGTTAAGAATTATGCAAGACTAAAGGAAGTCCCTTGCCCTTTACCTCTGGCTTGCAAAGTGGTAGTGGTAAACCTTCACAGTTTTTATTTAAATAAAAACTACATAACAACTTTCTGATTCAGCTCTGAAATTATGAATTCAAGAGTATACTGTGAATAGTGCTTCATGTAAGCCCTAAAGGCTGACATATAGTATAATATCCTTAGGAATGAAGTAAATCCAGTGAATTCCCAGAAATCTCACCATGAACATAAAAACAAAGCCTCCAATTCTGTTCTGTAAGGCAGCAACATAAATGGTTTCCCAAAGCTGATACCTTTCTTTGTTTCCACAAAGTCAAGAGGATGAGCTCTGCTGTAATTCAGTTTGCCTACAAAAAGGCAGACCTATGCGGTAAGGGAGATGAAGAATGGCTTCTAGAAAACAGAACTCTTGCTACCACACCAGCCTTTTACAGTAAGATTGCCTTCTGAGCTTGCAGATCACCATACTAGAAATGAAATCCTTCAGTGCTGCAGATTCACGCATTTAACTTGGATAGTATTTGGAAAAAGAAATGGACATGAAAAATGGTATTTTCACCTTGTTCCAACTCCAAATAGCAAATGGTGAATTGCATAGCCAAGTCAGAGCTCCCTTTTTACCTATCAGAACTAAGTGCCCTTAGACCCACCTTCAGAGACATCACTAGGATGAAGACTGCCAACAGGATCACTTCTTACATTCTAACATATACAAGTATGTATTTTAGAGACCCTAACCGTTTCCCCACCTCCCCTTTTGTCTCTTCTTCCCTAGAAGAGTGGTACTAGAAATAGAATCAAAATTATTTGGGAAGCTCTCATCAATTAAAAAAACCCAAACATACCAACAAACACTGCAAAAAAAGAAAATAAAAAACCACAAGCAACAAAAAACCCCAAACAAACCCCACAACAACTGAGAACAATGTAGGAAAAACCCCTGCTATTGATGTCTCTACACACCTTTGAGCCTCTAATCTTGTGGCTGATCTAGTTGTGGCCCCGGAATGTGCTTCATCATCTTCCTCACCATCTTCTTCCTCACCTTCTTCCTGCTCTTTTAGTTCATCTTCAGAAGACGTTAATTTCCGACGTTTTCTTTCTGGGTCCAGTGTTTCTGTCCATGTAAAATTTTACACATGTGCTATAATTTTCCAAAAGCCCTCCAAAAGGATATGGACACTTAGTTTAGAAAACGTATTCTATTCACAAATCCGATTTTAACTAAGTATTTTTCCATTTCCTTTATGCTTTAACATTTTTAATTCACACTTGTTTGACCTAATCTTGCTAACATATTCACAATAGTTTACTTAATGCAGCTCATAGCCAGAATCCATAGAAAATTCATGAGGCTTTATAGAAGCATCTGGGATGTAGCAATTCTGACATAAGATTACAGCAATTTACACATATTTACATAATATTTACACTAGCTGTAACTCAATGATTTTTTCCTCAAGAAAGGAAAATTGAATAAAGCTTATCTTGTTGCTATTAGTAAACAGAAAGGCACAGTAATATCTTCTAATTCTGTTAGGAGTGGCACAGTTTCATGTTTTTACCAGTTTCCTCTGACTGACCCAGAGAACGCCTGGGCTTTCTTCCCCTTTTACGCACAATCATTTCTGCTTTCTCAGCTTCATCCTCCTGAAAAAATAAAATGGAAGCAGGTAAGGCAAGAACAGTTTAATTTAAATAGAAGACAGACATTTTTCATGACATACTGCTTATAAACTTACAAATTAAAATGGCTGCACTTACATTTGTTGTTTCTTTCTTATTAGATATGTCTGTACCTAAAAAGAAAGGAAAGAACAAAACTCAATTCTGAATTTCAAATCTTTTGCCAGTCAGTTTAAAAAGCAGTTCTTTCAAACTCCGTCAACTTTGCATAAACATCACATAAGCTCAGAAAACATTTAAAGTCTCTATCTAATTCCGAATACAGCTTTGTTATATACAGAGACTGTGACAAGGATATACATTTTTTTTAATTAGTAAGGCCTTATATGACTGACATTATTTATTGCTTTGTTGCATATGCTGTTTTAATGGAAAAGCAGAAGTTACTCAGCCCTTTTAACTACTGTCAACCAATTACAGAATTACAGAAAAATTTAGCTTGGAAGGTGCCACTGGAGGTCATCTAGTTCAACCTCCTGTTCAAAGCATGGCTATATTAATTGATCTGATCATACTGCTCAAGATCCTGTTCAATCCAGTTTTGAAAGTCTCCAAGAACACAGTTCCTCCAGGCAATCTCTCCTAGTGCTTAACTATGCCCATGGTGAAGCACCAAAATGGCTGTAGCTCAAAAAGACAATATTTAATACTGGGTATGCAAATTATGTGACTTTCCCTGTTGAAGTACTTCTTACTTTCAATTCAGTACTCCTTACAGACTGGCCTGTGCATGTTAAAATATATTTATAACCCTATGACCCATGTCTCAACCTGGCCGCTCTTCATGGTAGATGCTTACCACTTGTACCCTGACTAACCATGATAAGAAAGAGACCATTTTACAAAGCTTTTGAGCTTTGTCAAATGAAATTATCTGTAACACTGCAAGGATAAAAATCCTTAGCAATAGAAGGAGAGAAGCAACCTAAACAAAAGAAAGTTTTTACACCTTTTTTCCCTGCCATAAAATTGCTGCCAATTTTTGTTTTCTGAAAGCTACACAAGAGACAACGCAAACTCTAAACCCATCACCCATCAGACTGACAAGAACAAATAACAGAAAAACATCAATGCAATGGATCAAAAACAGATCTCAAAGACCAGAAGCACATTCTAAAATTCACACACAAGTTTTTTGGAGTTCCTTTGTCAAGGTTAGGGGGAAAAAACTTTTACACAGAAGCAAATGAAATAAAAAGCAAAGATGAAGAAATGCAGTAAAACATAGACTGTCCACTGTATCAAGTAATTTACACAAAGTAAGTGTAACACAGAGCCGACATTTATTAGTTCTGTTGTGTTCAAAAGACAGACACTTCAAAATTCTGTCACATTTTGGCAAATTTGTAGCAAAATGGTTTTTGACTGAAGAATACTCTATGTACGTACAAGGTATGCCTCTCTTTACAAACACAAGCCTCTCTTTAGGATTTAAGTATGTAGTACTTTTGCCTCAAGAGAAGTATAAAAATAATAAGCTATAGTAGTTAAAAATCTTACTAACTTTACAGCAGCAACCACTGATTAGTACAAAATAATTTTAGTTTCAAGTTCAGTGCCAGTGTTATGGGAGGATGCTGCCTTCAGAAACCAGATGTCTCTTAACTGCACAAGTTGTACTGACTGAAAAGAAGTTCTCTGCTTCCCACTCGACATGTTAGCCTGTCCCTACTGCAAACCCTTGTGCAGAACACCCAGAAATGACCAGAATAAGCGAACTACACAAAGGGATTCCACTCTGCTGTCTTTTCACTGCTAGGGGTTTTCAACTCCTTTTCTCACACGAATGCTAACATTAAGATGAAAAGTTTAACAGGATATTTCATCCACTTTATACACTCTTCTTAATATCACTGTGACATCAACAGCCTTTTACCTGGAAAACGAAATATTACTTAACACATTAAATTAAGCTTTAAAGACACAGTTAAGTGTCTGTCCTTTTGAATGAAAAGGAAACCAGAATGCACTTTGTCACCTTTCTCACATTCTTGTCTGTTCTCTTTGCAGTTGATAGAAACCAAGTACCATGCAACCAGCTAACCCTCCAGAGACAATTCTGAAGCATATGGGCTAAAGCTGACATTTTAACAAATATAGAGAAAATAGGAAGTAGTCCATATATGCAGTGCAGCCAGTTTAATCTCTCTGTAGAATCCTAAACTTCTGAAAACTCCAGAAGATGAGTTTTGAAGACTTGTTTTCTCAGATTTGTTGCGCGAACATTTGTATTTGTTTACAAATAATTTTTTAACTTGCCTTTCAGGTTCATCTGCTTCCTGAATGGATTTTAAAGTCTGTTTTATGAATGGCCATAATTAAAAAGACTCATTTAAATAACCAGTGCAGTTCAGAGTCCATACACACAAAAAAATAACTAAAATTCACCAAAGTTTGACCTCTTACAAATCACAGATGTTTGAATAGGAAAGAGAAATATAAAAGTATCTCATTTCATTTGACTTTAGTTTGACCAAAAGTACATTTCTGAGTAAAGTTAAGCGATCATCTTCTAAAGATCTTACAGCAGTCGTGAAAGGGGAAAGAAATACCCCCTCACGCTACCACAAAGCTCTTTAGACACATATCCACAGATAAACCAATTAACTGAACAAAATTTGAAATTTGTATTTTAAAAGTTAATGTAATAAGTGTGATTGATAGTTGCTGTATGAAAGAAAATAAGCAGAAATGGAAAACGGTCACTAAGAACCAGTTTGATGGGGGAACCTACCTGCCTCTGAAGCTCTGCCATGTGCTATTCACACAAACAAATTGTTTGGTATAGTCTGCAATGCATCATTCAGTACTTAACAATGCTGCTGCATCTTTGAAATAAGTTCTTATCAAGCTGCTCTTTTTTTAAATTAAAAACTCAGTAGGAATTAGAGACAAGTCTTCACTGTTCTGTTTACTCAGATGTTTTCACATGCTAATAATACTGACTGCCAGAGATGATATTTAGGAAGGACTCGTGTGATGTTCCTGAAAACACTCTTCTATTTTTTCCATCTTTTGTTTTATTTGTTAAAGCAGATATCATTTGCTTACCTGTTTGAGGTGTTTTTCCTCTACTTGCAAAGACAGGAAACTGCAGCTGAAAAGAAAAAGTGGGTTTTTTAATTTAAGGAAAATCAGAAAAATCCAGGATTGTATTACATAAACACAGAAACTTGCTCCCATTCATAGTAGAACATACCTGCAAATCTAAAAAACATGAACATTCTCATGAGCACACAGGAAGTTGGTATTGAGTTTCTTAACAGTAGCATGCATTTTTCCGTTTATGATAAAGATTTGAAATTACTCAAATCAGCCCATAAACAAAAGAAACCATAGCAGTTCCAGTAACCTAACTGACACTAAGGTCATTGCAATAAAAGACACAAGTTAAAAGCAGTTTCAGTCAAATAAATTTCTGAAAACTTAAACAATACAGAAAAAGTTTAGTGCAGTCACTTTATGTAATCACACATACAGATTTGCAGAATTATAAATCACGACAATTTTGTATTTATTCAGAATGCAGAAGAAGCTAGGCATAGTTACGTAATGTCCTATGATGACTGTCCAAAAATGCAGTTGCTTTCATCACTGAATGACTAGGATGTCTATGCGTCCTTTGAAGTAGCAACATGTTCTTAAAGCAGCCTAAGGGAAACTGTCATGCAAAGATAATATCTCACCTTACAGAACCATTATGTCAGACGGAGGGCAGATATCGCTCCTCCTGGAGCCAGCCTGTAACTGACTGACACACCAATCAGTCATCACTAAGAGGTACAAGACCTTTAAAATAGTTGAACTAGAAAAAAGATGATTCTGTTCCAGTACCAAGGGTGCCAAGGTATATCTATTTCTGAGGGGGATTTAAAATTATTTCTAGTTCTTATTTGGAAAAAAAAAAAAGACCAAAGCCAACTGCGACAAAAAAACCAAACACCAAAAAACATACCAGTTCAAATTACACTCATTAATATTGGGTGGTGGTGGTGGTGTGTGTGGTAGGAAATCAGTTAGGAAAGATTAGGAATTCTGAAACAAAACTCCACCAGACCTGTAGAAAGGACGGGACTCAAAGGGCTGCCTGAAATGCTGTGGGGACAGAACAAGCAGGGACGAGAACTCCTGCTATCTATAGCCTACATAAATTCCCAAGCCTTCTAACACCCGTGCCAGCTGGCACATCACCAAGCAAGCAGGCAGAAAACATGAGTTTCAATATAACTTTGTTTTAAAAATCACCTCTTTTCTATGCAATAACTGATTCTGACGTACAGGAATTCCCAAGAGAGGAGCCTTCCACCAGAATAAATCCAACTAGTCATACTTCACAAATATGCATGATCCATTACTGCCCTGTGCTGTAAGCCAACTGGATTGCAGAAACACTCCCAACAGAATACTTTCTTAGCAGTGAAGTTACTTCACATGGGCTAAGAAATGAAGATATTGCTGATCTTTAAAAGAGAGGTATGTTTCATGAGCTCTTAGGTTACTAACCAGCATGTCTCTGTCTTTTGACTGAACTGTACACATGGTAATATAGATAATACAACTGCATTACACAATATTTTACAGATACTAAAAGTTATTACGAGCTATTATTATGATAGGCTCAGTACAGGAAAAAAAAACAAACTCAAGTTTTGGAAACAAAGTCACCCTTGATATTCAGGCGAAAATTACTCTCTGCACAAATTAAAAGACTCGTGTGCACACAATCAGAGTTTCATTCTGCGTGCAAGTACACTGCTAGCCAGTTTAGGACTTAAATTTGTATTAATTACGTTGTACTACGTTTGATCCTGTTAGGTTATTTGCTGTGCTCAGACTTAATAATGTATTTTGCTTACAAAGTTCAGTTATATTAGGAGATACTATTAATAGCTTTTGTTTGCTCAGAATGAACTCAATTATCAAGTTCTCCATAAGATGAAACACTGTTAACTGTTAAACAGATGAATGGCCCTTGAATTACTGTGTTTAAATGCACCCAAACAAAATAAATGCACTTACATTCCCAGTGCTCATATCAGCTTTTGACTCCCCACCTGAGGGAAGAAATATGAATTCAGAACTTGAGTGTCACTATTTTCCTTGTTTTCCCACACAGGCATTATGAACTACTTACCACCAGGTAGTACAGCTTCAAGAGGGTATTTACGAGGCCTTCCCCTTTTCCGTTTCACTACTACAGGCTGATTTTCCTATTAAAAGGACAAAAATATTTTAGTTGCTGTAATTGACATTTAGCATTTGGGCAATATAATACAAAGGTTGTTGCTAAATTCATAATGTGATAGTAGCAGAAGTACTGCTCATCAGTTTAAAAATATAGATGAGGCAGGTTTCATAGGAAGAGACACTGCCTGCTACGAAATCCATTAATATAGCTGAAGAGAAACAAGGTAAGGCTGGCCTCAGGCACAAAGCATGCCTGAGAACACAGTGCTTTCTGCCCCCTTCCCCTCAACAACTCTATCACTTAGTCTCACAAATGATGCTGGCTTACCCTATATATCCCACCACGTCTTTTCAGACTTACAAGAACTCCAAACTTTGTACATCGTGAGCCCCTTTTCCCAGTGCCATACAGCACAGGCTACACCTTACAACAGTTGAGCAAGTGCTATTAAACAGTCAATATTCTAGTTATCCCAATATACAGATTGGGACGTTCTCTATATAAACATGTCATATTTTACTAAAGGCCCCTTCCTTTGAAGTTTAAGGTTTGAAAGACAACTTTAATGAATATGGCCAGATCACAAAGATTGCCAATCTCAGATGAGAAAATCCCCAGTAATACTCTTGACGTACAGGATATTTGTATTTACGAGGAAAGGTTAAGTGTCTCAGTCAGCATTTACTGAAGTCTAGCTATATCTCCTCCCCTCAATGGTTCTTAGTGACACAAGCCTTGAGTGAACAAACATAATTTATTCTTTAAATTTTCTTCCACTTCCAAAGTGGAGAAAGTAGAGGCAAAAAAAGCAAATGACAAAATCCAACGTCTTTATGAGAACTGTGTCCATTTCTAGGGGCCAGCAACAATTTTAATCTCTAGGATTCAGACATTTGTTTACAACCAGCACTGCAGACTATCACAAGTATATGCCTAAGAAACATAAAGAGTTTTAAAATTGTTGGGTGATAATATTTTTGCAAAGCCAAGTCATATTTGCTATCAACTAAACTGTCCACATCTCAATTACAAGGTTTTCAGAAAACATGATTTCTATACAATGTAACTCTACAGAATTGCTTTCTATACCATTTGTAAGTACTATTAAATGTAGGAAGGGAGTTACTTCTACTTCAATAATCAATCACTGATGTCTTATGGTCTGTGAGTTTATACTTTGTGACACAGAACTACGTCAGTCTTTGGTGCTTTATAGTACCAAACAAATTTTTGCAGCTATTTCTGTGTAGATGAAGTCAAAGTTTTAATACTGCTGTCAAGAAAATACAAAGTACTTATTTTCAGTGTGAACCTGCACTACCTCAGTTAGTTAACATGAATAAGACTACTCACCTCTGGAGAATTTTCATTTGATTCTAGACCATGCTTTTCTGTTTCAGACATTTCCTGCTCGATGGCAAATTCATCTTCACACATACAAAAAACAACCAAGAGAGAAACTGTACACCTTTGTTTTATTAGACAAAGAAAAAGGTACAAGCCATGATCTCCACACTAAAAGCACTATTTAATTCAGTAGCCCAAAATTCCCTAAAAACACCCATCAGAAATTAACACTACTTGTCTTGTAGCAACAATATATTGGTTTGCCAGAAAGCTTCCCTAACACTAATGAGTTAGACAGGTCTTCTAATTTAAGGTAAAAACAAAAGCTCAAGAGTGTCACTCTAAAAATTGTAAGATAAATACAAGCCACTAGTCAATTTTCTCCCACATTCCATGAAACAAGAAGCTGAGCATACAAGGTCATTACAAAACAGTTTCAGACTTGTGAACATGCTCCCTGGAGAGACAAAACTATTAATAGGTCAAAGCAGCATTAGGGAAGACACTCCTTTGTTCACACAAAGACAGACTGAAATGACATCAAAGCCAACATTAACACTGTGGATGTACCATCTTTTATTAGTTATTTTAGTGAAATCAATAAAGCCAGCTATGACAGTCCAACTTGCGCACTCTTT